ATTTCATAAACTATGGTGTGAAGTTAGCTTGTTTCCTTAGACCATAATTAAGACTAATTTCAGTTTGTCCTGGTTCAGATATAAAGTTGAAACAGAGTTAATCAAAAACAAATGTGAAACTATCTAACTCATGTGTATTTCTAAAACAGAATTTCATTTTATATTCAAAACAGTTCAATGCCTCTATAGCCCAGCAACATACTACTGCAATATAGTCTTGATGAAAGTACTACAGTAGTGGGAAAGCACAGTTCATTTTTCAGCAGCAATGTATTACTACCAGCAAATTACAAAGGGTGTAGGAATACAACTAGAGTACATGAGCAACAGTTTTCCAAATTCTTACATTTACTTCAGAGAGGGACACAAGGAGAGATGTTTAGGTGTTTAAAAAAATGCAATCACCTCTTGTTTTCAACCTCCATAATTAAACCTATAGCAAATTTTACATCAAAAACTGTCAGTCTCAAGGCCTAAAAGAATTGTACACATACTAGCAATGGTAGCAGCAAGTAGGAAACTGAAAAGTAACAACTGATACTTTTCCTCTTCAGCAGTTTTCAGATCTTTTTGTTGTTAGAAAGAAGCAGCAACAGCAGCAATAACCCAAAGTCTGAACTCCCAACACAGGTTTCAATTTCTGTTCCAAATCAGTCAGGAGCAGCTAACTGTATCAAATTACTCCAGTATTTTCCCTCCATTTAATTCATTTGTTGTGTCAGAGGTAGCTACTGTGGCCAAGTTTTCATGGTAAAGTGAAGTACTTTCAGTGCACAAAGAAACTTTTGAATTCCCAACACATGCTAAAGACCAAAATAAACTCCACGGAAGAAATAAAGGGAAAAGTGTTGTAACAGAAGACAGTTTACTATATTTGAAGGAAAAAAAAAAAAAAGACTTGATACTATGCCCTGCTTTCTACTTCCAGCAGGGGACAGGGTCAAAGGAACAGACAGTAGGAGCATCAGGGTGCCCATTTCCTGCCAGGCTGTGAAACAAAACCAGGTATCTCTTGTTACAGCTGGTGGAGGAAAGGCACAGGAAAATTTTTATTAATCTATCTATTAATCTATCATTAGAGTTTTAACAATGAAGTGCTTTTTCAAATCAAAGGATGGCCTCAGTAAGTACTAAATACACAGTTTTTAAGTATTCCATTGACTCCATCTGCATGATCTAAGATTGAGGAAAAGAGACTCAAGGTTGGTTTGCATAGCAGGATATCCCACTGTGGATTATTTAATACTGCATGTAAGGGTTGTCATGTTGTGCAAATCCAGCAAGCATGGGTTATGTGAAAATTAAAGAAGTCTTGCATATCCCTGGAAAAGACTGTGGTTTATTTGACAACTATTAAAATACATTAGCCATGCTTGCTGGATTTATATGATACAAGACCCCCCAGTGAGGGTTGGATATGCAAAGTGGTGTTACAGCTTATCACAGGTTAAACAACTCACAATGAGCTGTGCCATGTTGTGCAAACTAAGTATCTATGTCAAAAGAAGTGCATGAGTTAGAAAGTAGACAACCAACTGCTTCAATGAGCTTTCTCTCTGGAACCAAAAGAAGACAATTAATGTACCTTGGCAATAACTCTTCCACAGAGGCCTATTAAAGCCCTAAGTTATCTGCTTTTGAAGGCAAATTAAAATTTGGGGTGTCAAGCATGCTTTGTACAACTGGGGTGGCCAGACTTGCTCAACTGAAGAGCCACATACAGTAAATGTCAGATTTTGAGAGCTGCAAGCGGGTGCCCACTGGTGGTGGAGGCAGGTGGGCAGAGGCAAGCAGGCACCTATGGGAGATGATGAGCAGCAAGTGGGCACCCAAAGGCACCTGCAGCAGCAAGTGGAGAGCTGCAAAATAAACTCAAAGAGCCGCATGTGGCTCCTAAGCCTTGGTTTGGCTACTCCTGCTATATAAGCTAATTTATGTTTTGAAGAATCTTTGCCTTTATCTATTTTTTAAAAAAATTAGTTCCATTTAAGAAGTCTGCCATCAAGCACCTAAAACATTTTGGGAGGATTGGGGAATTAAAGGGTACAATGCAAGGTTTGTAGGGACAGAAAGAAACTAGGAGGCTTCAAGGTACATATCTTCTACACTTTGCTCAACATGTGAATGTTAAATTACCTAGGGAAATCCAAACCATAACCCAGTTAAAGCACAAAAGCCAGTGTGTTGTGTATCAGGTTGTAAAAGCCAGCAAGATCAACTAGAATGCAGTCACAAACTGAAGCATTTAGAGAACAGTTGGTCCTTCAGATATTGTTGGACTACAAACCCTCACCATCTCTGACCAGTGACTCTGCTCATGGGGCTTGAGCTGATGGAAACCAGAGTTCAACTATAAATGGAAGACCACAGGTTTCCCTATCCCTGATTCCGAGGCTAGTATACAATCTTATCCTTGTTACACTATAAAACTTACTCAAATAACCACTGAAGCTTTTGATTTACAATGAAAAGGCTGCTGCTCTCTAATATTTAATTCAAGTCTGTTTTATCTACATGCAGTTACCAAGAAATGGATGAAGAGAAATCAGTAAACTTAAGTATTTATGTCAGCTTACATGCTAACTTAACAAGATATTTTTATCAACATATCTGTTCCAATATTACTACACTTGTCTAATGTTCAAGGCCAGCCCTATCACAAGGCTCTAATGTGGCACCTGTCTCCAATTGAGATCCATAAGCACAATGAAAAGGCAGCAAATGAACAGTTATTACTCTCATACGAAGACATGAGAACAATGTGCATGACTTCACACAAGGGACAGGAATATGGGACAGCACAAGAGAGAGCTGCCAAAGCCAGACATCTCAGGGATTGGCCAGGCAGTGCATGGTCAGGCAGCAGGTAGGCAAGCAGTGGTGAATAGGTGGGTGATTGGCAAGGCAGGGACCATTACTGGGGGCAGTGGGCCAGCTGGACATCAGGGAACACATGCCAGGAAGGAGGGCAGCGAGCATGGGGGAAGCCAATCAGTGCCCTGTCCTCTCAGCCACTGCTAGGCATACAGACAGGGAGTGGCCATGGCTCAAACAGGAAAACTGGAAAAACATTGTTAACTGGCTTCACACATAACAAGAAAGCAATGTGGAAACCTTACAACAAATCAATAGTTGTCCATGTGATTCACAAATGTGAAAACAAACACGCCACATTTCATCACGTTTCCAGTATTCACACATAACAATAAGCTGTTCTTGCCATGGCTTGTCATTATGTATGGGTACAGTCACTAACAGAGAGAACCAGGTATGTACTACAGGGGAATGGACATAATTTGGGTATTTTTGTGAGAGCAAGATGCCTTGTGCCAACTCTAATAATATATTTACTAGCCAGAATCTTCAAAACCTACTCTTAGTTTTATGTCAACCCTTTTGGTGTAATGAATGATTACATCTTTAAAAACAGGAGTTAGGGGATAAAAAGTTAAGGGCCCAACAAAAGCAAAAACACACTGACCACAAGATACAATATATTTAAAAAAGAGAATGCAAAACATTTTACAACTCTTCCCTTTGCACTTTAATCCAATTTACATTTTGCAACTCCACTGAACATTTGTGTACAACCTTATAATCTTGATCACTTCCCAATGCTGCCTAGAATGGGTCTATATATGCATTATTTGACTATGAAAACAAACTATGCACTATCAGAACAGGAATGACCTTATCTATTCTTTTCACAATGTAATGCTTTCCCCCACACTCTATTACCCTGTTCACCCAAATCAGTAAACTTTCCTTAAAATAGAACATCTTAATAAGCAAACACACATTATTTTGTTTCTAAAGTGGAACTAAAACATGTTTCTCTCAACATGTTTTAGTTCCAAACCAAAATAAGTCTACTATAAGTAAAAACAATTTGTTTTGCTGTACTTTAGAGATTAACTAATTTATTATGTCAGAAGCATTGATGAACTGGAGGCCACTTATCAGATGGATGGTGTTATCCTAAAGTACAGTTATATACACACTGGTGGGGAGCATTGCAAACAGTGAAGACAGAAGAAAACAAAATACAGAACACAGAATATTTATCTTATTAACAATAAATAATCCAAGCAGCAGTGTTAATAATGCTGCAAACATCTTAACATTATATTATTAATAAATACAGTGTGCTAAAAACCCATTATCCAGATTACATATCAGAAACTCTTGATAAATTTTAATCCAGCCAATTCACAATGCTGTTTTCTTTTGAACTTCTGTGGTTAGAGAATAGCCACCAGTGTTCTAGAAGTTTGAAATGTTCCTCCACTGATTATTACCATTTCTGATGTCAGATTTGTGTCCATTTATTCTTTTGTGTGGAGACTGACCTCTTTTGTCATACTATATGTCACACCTTACTGCACTCATCCACTAAACTTATACCATAATAAAGATGTGAGGTTGCAATCCTGTACATACTGGCTTAAGAATACCTTATCATAATTGAGCTTAATTCTAAGTAAGGGTCTAAAAAATTGTGTGTTTTCTGTAACAAACTAACAGAGGTACTCGTCCAGAACAAAGGTTCTTAGTAAAGACTATAATTCCGTTATGAAAAGAGTAGCCACTAGGATTGAAAGTTTTCACATGCCACAAACTGAGATGTTTACATAATAGCGAAGATACATTTGAGTAGGGTTCTTTTATTATTATTTATGTTCTCCTTCGCAGGCTGACATTTACGGGAATTTGTTCCAACAGCCAACAAGCCCATTTGAGAAACAGTTTCAAAAAGCAAGTCGAGGCGGCAGGAAAGTTTCTGAACTCCCTTGAGGAAAGAGCGAGCCCTGCGGGGCATGCGTCTCTCTGCTGCCGAGGTCTACCCCAAAGGAAGGCGGCTTTCCTCCCTGCCCATTTCAGTGGGTGTGGAACGAGTGAGGCAAGACCAAACCAGACGGACGGACTGACGGAGGGAGGGAGGGAAAAAGGAGGGTGCCGACTCGCCCGCGGCCCAGAACAATAGAAAGCGCCTCACTCACCGCACACACAGCAGGAGAGCGACTGCCGGAAGTAGGGCAGCAGCTTGCCGATCTCGGCCAGGCACTGCGGATCCTCCCCGGGGCCGTAGCTCAGTACCAGGCGACTGGCGGAGATGTACAAGGCTGTGGCATTCACCGGGTTCATCGCAGACACTGAGGCCAACGGCTTCGGGCTGAGAAGAAAGCACGGCACCGCGCCTGGGCAGGGCAGGCCGAGGGGCGGCTTCGCTCCTAGCCCCGCATCGAGGCCCCGCCACAGCCAGGGCCGGGGCCGGGGCCTGCTCTTCCCCCCTTGCCTGCCTGCCCACCCCCCGCCGCAGCTCCTCTTCTCTCCGAGCGGCGGCGGCGGCGGCGGCCCAGGCAACTACTCCAGGCGGCCGGCCATGCCGGCCTTGCTCCCTTGCCCTCCTGGGGCGTCTCAGGCTGAGGGCAGGCCCCGCATGGGAGGGAGGGGGCAGAGGCCCGATCCGCGAGCCCAGCGCAGGGCGACGGCCCGGGCCCGGCTCTGGTAGGGGCGGGGGGAGGAGGCACCTCCGCCGGGAGTTTCAGTACGGCCGCATTACCACGGGGCTCCCAGGGCCTCTTCCGCGGACTCAACGGCGTCGCTGCCCCTGGCCACTCTCCGCGCAAGAACCATCCACCGCACGCCCAGCCCAATGTCAATAGCAACCGTTAGATCCAACCGTCACTGCGCAGCCATCACCGCGGCCGCTTGGGCTCACCACTGCGCATGCGCGGCCATTCCCTACCTCATCACACCCACCCCCTTCGTGTCTTGCTGAGCGCCCCGGCCCTCTCTCCCGAGAGTGTGAGCAGGGCGGGGCTCCGGCGGCTTCACGCCCTCTCCAGGCCCGAAGAGGTATCAACATCAGTTCGTCTTAGCGCGGCCGCTTGAGTGGCGTTCAGAGCTCGCCGTACGTACGTACGTATGTACGTAATCTCCATAGCGCCGTACAAATGGTGTTCCGCGGCCTACGTCGTTCCTAGTCTCTCCGCTCGCGTGTATGGGGGACTTCTTTAAGTGAGAACTTATTTTGAGTCAACATGGGATGTATGAAAAATGTGCACTATCGCTGAGCATTTACAGAATTCTTGTCCCTCATTCCTGATCAACCCAGCCATGCTCATGGATTCAAGAGAGGACTCTCTGGACGGACGTTGAGATTAGGCACTTACTTCAGAACAGGGATAGCGCCAAGATTGTCCCCAACTGGTCCCATAGGTAATTCAAGTTAAACTCACGAGTCAGAGTTTATGGACACTAGACTGTAGCCATGAAACTTGAACAAGTGAATGTTTATTTGGAAGTAAGTGCCATGGAGTAAAAGGATATTTAGCACCAAGTAAGTGTATATGGGCCTGTAACATGAGGCTGCATCCTTGTGGCGAATTACTTGGGAGTAAGAACCGCTCAGGAATGAGTAAACACTTTGGTCCCAGTTCAGAGGAAAGCATGCTTAAGTAAAGTTGAAATCAGCAGGACTTGGAGAAATTTGTTCTGTCTCATTCATTTTGCGTTGTTTTTAATTGAGTTTTACTAGACAACAAAACAGGTAAAAGATGATGAGGCTAGCAAGTTTTACAATGCATCACTTTGGAATCTGAGCTGTGCAGGGCTTGTGTATTGGTGTATGCAATGAACAGATAGCATACTTCTATGAATAAATAGGGTTTTTGGCCTTTTTAGAAAGAATAATTCCATATTCAGTTCTTCCATTTCTGGTATTGCTAGGCCAGTAGATGGTTTCCATTTAAATGCAATCTCAAGCCAGACAGCTGCAAGCATAACAATCAAGTCTTTATGTAAAAAGTTTCACTCTCCCCTTTGAAAATTGAAAGTGAAGAGTCCATAATTTTTAATTTGCTGTTCAGTATTTTCATATATTGTGGAACAAACTTCACTCCAATATCCTACAATTACTGAATATAATTGCCGCATATGCATTAAGGAACCACTGTGGCTGTATCTTCTTTGAGGATACTGTCCTCAAAGAGATTTGTTTAAATTGTGTAGTTTTGTTGAGGTGAAGTGCCTCCAGTGAAATAGCTTCATTGTGGCTGCCTTCATTTGTGCTGAAATGGCATAGAGTGGGTGGATAGACTAGAATTGGGACCATGCCAAATCCCATATTATTTTTTGCCCTGGAGAATTTCCATACATAAGATCGTTTATGTTGTATGGGGACTAGATTTTCATGGGATGACTCTGAGGTAAGCATGCATTTTCAGAGATCATTATTACTTGATGAATACCTTCCCTAGCTAAACTTTTAACAAAATTGGTCGTTTGGTATTTTCATAGCCAAAAAAACTGTAACCCCTTGTAGATGTGCTTCCAAGATAAGGAGATGGGATTTTCCCCTATAAACAAGGATCTCTGGTTTCATTCTTGCACATGTTTAGAAAGAAAAAAGCCCTGCAACTCCTAGCATGTTTTACAACATAGGTTCATAAGGGAGGGGAAAATGTATACAACTACTGGTTCAATTGCTGTAATTATGTTCACTCATAAATAGTTCTCTTGAATACATTTTTCCAAAGATACATTTGTGAGTCCTGTGGTTTCTATTCATTTTCTTTGATATTTGAAAAAGAAAGAAAGGCTTGCCAAGCCAAATAAAAGGTTTAGATTGTTCCTTTGATAAGTTTGGTTTGATGTATCAAATGGAGGGTCTGCATGTCACAACAGGCAAAGGTTGCCACAATTTTCCTGTTACCATGTTTCCTCTGACAGATTATCACAAATTCTGCATGGTTTCAGTTTTTTGCCTCCCCACTACTGCTTTCACCATATATCCCAGCAAGCCCCATGGGCAAAATCCCCTTCATTACTATATTGTTCCCTATCTGTGTTGGCTGCCTCTTCCTGAACTGAGGTTTTGAAGTGGGTTCTCCCTCTTCTCCTTTCTGGTTATACTTGCACCTCTTTAATGTTTCCTAGCCAATCCAGCCCCCCAAAGATTATTTTAACATTACAATAAAAACTCACTACAATTCACCCTTCTCTCTTTGGCATTTACCTGATTCCTTGCTTCAGAAAGTAAAAATAGTGATGGGCACAACACTTAGTCATGTGTTGTGCCCATGATACATTAATGACAATGTATTGCTGGCCCCCCTTTTGTTGCCATGCTTTTCACAGGACTCTTTGGTGCTTTTTCAGCATGAAGAGAAAAAAGAGTCCTAATGTCACAACACACAACTGCAGTAAACAGTAGCCATACAACAGAGTATTGTTTCTTGTCTTGGTTACCTGGCTTGAAACAAGTCATTGTGATATGCTACGACTGGGTTCAAATGACATGAGCCCACAGTGGTAGAAGCCACAATCACCTGTCATGACATGCAAACCCAGTCAATGGCTGTGTTCACATATAACAACAAGCCATGGCAGGAATGGCTTGTCGTTATATGTGAATTCAGTAAGCATGGTGAAGCATGGCAGTTTTGGTTACCTTGAATCCCCATGGAGAATCCATAGTCTTTTGCAAGATTTCCATGTTGCAGCACTGCTTGTCATTATGTGTGAATGCAGTTACAATGTTTTTCCATAGTTTCCCCATTTCTGCCATCCAGTCTAGCAGCAAGAGCAGCCGTGGCAGCTTCCATATGTTGTCCTGTTCAGCCTAACAACTGCTGAGGCAGCTTCAGCCACACTCTGATTGGTTACCTTGTGCCCCTTCTTCCCCTCTGCCCACACTCTGCATTCCTAATGCCCAGCCATAGCTCTGGAATATCAGCAGTGGCAGGGCATCACACAGCACCATCTCCAGCAGCAGTGTCCTTGGAAACAGGCACACTTGGCACTGTCTGGTTGCTGCACTTTGCTGGAATAGCACTCTGAAATGAACATTTGTGTGTTCTACTTGGAGAGGAAGCACTATCCTGTCCTCCCTGCCATTCCTATCTTCTCCTTGGCATTTCTAAGGACTCTCAACAAACCCTGCTGTCCCCTATATGCCTGTCACAACTGCACAACAAACACATTCCAATTAGAAAATGTTCCCAACCAGATGCCCACATGTGCTGCCATGGGAAACAATTCCCACAGGATATGCTCCCTCCATCCCTGGTACAGGTGCCCACACAGATCCCCTCCATGCACCTGGGTCCACAGGGAGGTGACCCCTAGCAGCATGTGCAAATCCTTCACAGGGATATGTGTGGAGTTGACATGTGCAGCAAGGCAGAGAGTAGAGCTTGAGTATGTGGGTGAGTATGCTTACATGTTGGAGCAGCAGGGAGTGTTCCTCTAGTGCTCCTCTAGAGCAGTATTGCTACTCTAGTGAGTAGGCAGTTGCCTTGCAGCAAAAAAGCCCCAAAAGGGGCATCGGCTGAGAACATACTCAGGAGAGTGTGTGGGCCAATGGGGGAAAGACAGGTGGGGCAGGCAGGAGTGGTGCACACTGAGATTGATTCCCAGTTGTGGGGGCTAATGGAATATGCCCTGCCATTTGGAGGGAAGAGGGTGGTGCATGGAATGTACTCATGAGTAGTCACCTTGCAAATATGTGAATATAGTTGTTATTAGTTGCAAAGTCGTGTCCAACCCATTGCAACCCCATGGACAACATTCCTCCAGGCCTTTCTGTCCTCCATCATCCCCTGGAGTCCACTCAAGCTCACACCAACTGCTTCAGTGACTCCATCTAGCCACCCCATCCTCTGCCGTCCCCTTCTTTTGCCATCTATTGTTCCCAGCATTAGGCTCTTCTCCAGGGAGTCCTTCCTTCTCATTAGGTGGCCAAAGTATTTGAGTTTCATCTTCAGTAGCTGGCCTTCTAAAATGCAGTTAGGATTGACCTCCTCTAGGACTGACCGGTTTGATTCACCTTGCAGTCCAAGGGGTTCGCAGGAGTCTCCTCCAGCACCACAGTTCAAAGGCCTCAATCCTTTGGTGCTCAGCCTTCCTTATGGTCCAGCTTTCACAGCCATACATTGCAACTGGGAAAACCATAGCCTTATATGCACTTTTGTTGGCAGGGTGATGTCTCTGCTTTTTAGTATGCTATCTAGATTTGCCATAGCTTTCCTCCCCGGGAGCAAGCATCTTTTAATTTCTTGGCTGCAGTCCCCGTCTGTGCTGATCTTGGAGCCCAGGAAAATAAAGTCTGTCACTACCTTCATTTCTTCCCCATCTATTTGCCAGGAAGTAAGAGGACTGGATGCCATGATCTTAGTTTTCTTAATGTTGAGTTTCAAGCCAACTTTTGCGCTCTCCTCCTTCACCCACATCAAGAGGCTCTTTAGTTTTTCTTCACTTTCTGCCATTGGAGTGGTATCATCTGCATATCTGAGGTTGTTGATACTTCTCCTGGCAATCTTAATTCCAACTGGTGATTCATCTAGCCCCGCCTTTCTCATGATGTGCTCTGCGTATAAGTTAAATAGGCAAGGCGACAGTATACAGCCTTGCCGAACTCCTTTCTCAATTTTGAACCAATCAGTGGTTCCGTGTCCAGTTCTCACTGTTGCTTCTTGACCTGCACATAGGTTTCTCAAGAGACAAATAAGATGGTCTGGTACTCCCATCTCTTTAAGAACTTGCCACAATTTGTTGTGATCCACACAATCAAAGGCTTTAGCATAGTCAATGAAGCAGAAGTAGATGTTTTTCTGGAACTCCCTAGCTATCTCCATGATCCAGCGTATGTTGGCAATTTGATCTCTAGTTCCTCTCCCTCTTCGAAATCCTGCCTGTACTTCTGGTAGTTCTCAGTCCACATACTGCTG